TGTACGTATCGTCATTAAAAATGAATAAAGACACGAGCTCAAAAGTTGACAGCGAAAAAAAACCGCGTAAAAAATGTCGGCGAAGAAAGACTCTTATCATAGGTGACGGCAAAGAAAGCTGCGTTAACCTCTTTGACGGCAAAGAAAGACACATAGACTTATGTTCGCGGTCAACTATGTTTGCGAGAGTAACAGTATACGTATTCCCCAAAGAGTTTTTCCGGAATGATGTTGAATTCATGTTTACGCGTCTTTTTTCGCAATTTTTTTTCACGCGTCCTTTTTCGTCATCTAAACACCCGTGCGTATTTATTCGTGTCTCGGGACGATATTATTATTTTATTATTACGTAGGAGATACCCGCGACCTAAGATAATATAAATAAAGTGCTAAATCCTAATTATTATCAGCGCTTTGGATGATGTATGATCCAAATTTTAGATGGAGAAGACAATCGTTCTCCAAGGTGTATCAATCTACGATTCATGCTGCGTGGAAAGGCACATAGAATATACTCTGGGCTTTCCTCAATCAGCCCACAAAACCTACAGCCTCTACAGAAAGACCCATTTAATTCAAACGATACGTTAACTTGCAGTGTGCTGTCAGGTTTCCAGTAAGTTCTAAGTTCAAGGTGTCTTCCGGAGTTCCTCTTGGAAAGAGTTATGCATCTCCATTATTGTCTTATTCCCTTTGATTTCCGCAGTGGACAGAACTTTGAGTGCAGTGTATCGGGACCATGTAAACGCATTTGAAAAAAAAAATCGTTAGAATCCTTGCTTTTTTGCGGCAGTTATAAACGATTTCATCAAAAGTTGCTATTAAGAGAGGAAAAAAGAAGCGTTCGTACTCAAAAAGAAAAAAATCATTATTCGAAAAATTCGCATTTCTGAGCAAAAAGAAAAAATACGTGTCTCCTTAAATTGTTCAAGGAACAATCCCTGTGAGTTTTATCGCAATCTTAAATTCACTTTCCGCCGGCCTGGGTGATTTGGGATGGAATGAGCCATATGCAAAAAAATTGCAGAGTGGGGCAAATTTAGAGAGCAAAGTGACAGTTTACTTGGAGAGGAAGCTGCAAAATCTTGCTAGAAACATTCTTACTAGGATGAGTTTTAAGTTTAAAATAACTTATTAGAACTTATAGTGTGCGGAAATTAGTAAATTACTAATTTTCTTACGATTGCTTACCAAACTGCTTTAGACAATTTTTTAATTTTATTTATACAATCTGTGCTATTGTGAGATTTTTGGATATTTTCCAATTTGTGAGGGTTGTCTTCTGCAAGTTCGAACGGAGGATTACTGTTCTACCTATATTTAACTTCAAACTTAAATTAAATTTTCTACCCATTAGTAATAATGAAGCGGCTAATAAAAGCTTTTGAGCGATAAGAGCACAGGGATTTAGGTATTCTGCAAAGACAACTAAACCGTTGATATTTAAATTATTAGGTTCATTCTTTCTGTTTGCTGTTATTACAAGACTAAATTAAAGTACTAGTCGTAAATGCATATTATATTATCTGAACTTGTTTCTATTCTCAGAATATTTATTTTTTATTGTACATACCGACATAATCTTTAGTCGTTGCTCGTGTCCAGTGTGCTAAGTAAACGATAAGCAGCAGCCGAAATATGTTATTTTTTGTAGACATGGTGCTGTAAGAAACATTTTTTATTTGTATAATATCTAACAAAAAAATAATAATTTTACTAAATGGATTTAGAGGCTAAATTACATTTTAAAATACATTCTTGTGGAATGGCAGTTTATAAAAAAAATATTTTTAATATTAAGTACACGCATTCTCAATTAGGGTACTCACAGTTTACTTCTAAAGTTAAAAGGTGGCAACTTTAACAAGATAACACACTCGAACTGTGAGCAACCCTTATGTTTAAATAAAGTATTAAGTTGATCAACAATACCACGCATTGCTAGACCGTTTGCCTTTCACGCGTTTGTGTTTAGAGAGCATCAACAAACCACATACATATTTCTCTCTATTCTCTCTTCTCTTTTTTATACTCAGCTAGCACAGCGCAAAAATAAAAAAAAAATAACCTTTGCCAGCTCCAGGCAGGCGCAAAGAGAAACTTATGTACAAGCAGCGCTGCGCCCAAAGCGAAATTCATGTATGTATGTACAAGCAGCGATAGATGCCAGTTTAACACAGAACATAAACATGAGACAAAGTCTAGTAATTTTGCCCAAAAGTGTTATCTCTAATTAGTATGGGAACCAACAACAAACAAAGTTACCACATGGTAAAATGTTTTAAAGTTACCAGGTGGCAAAATTAACACAGTAGATAATATAGAACTGTGAGTACCCTAATTATGATATCAAATCATTCGTTTAGATATACTTCGAACCTGATATCGTGCATGCATATGTATATTCATCTGTACCCTGTCGGGAGTTCGTAGTCGACTACTAAAATAGGTAACTTTTGGTCAACTTATTACGGCTAACATTTAATTGGTTTCAAAGCCATGCAGAGCTTAATCGAAGGAATATGTATGTATGAATGTACGTAAAATTGTTTCACAATTTTCACTTTCGACAAAAAAACTTGTGTTCAAAAACAAAAAATTTAAAACAATTTTGTACATTTATTGTCATTGTGTTTTTTACTGAAAACGAGAGAACATGGATTTAGGTTATTTTATTTACAATAATATAGCCGAAAATATACGTATGTACATTCAGTGATGAACAAAATTATTGGCACAGCAAGGCAGTTAAACTTTAACACTGGTGTTTGGCCACTTATGAAATGATTTTTAATTGCAAAAAAAAGCGGTAGACAGAATGACAAGTTATCAACTATATGAACTTTAATTAATTTTGTTATGTTTTATATTTAATTAAAAATAAATATAAATTATAAAAAAGTACTAATTTTCGACAAACAAAATTATTGGAACACTTAAATGTTACCGGGCTATTTCGTCCAAATTCTATCAATCTAGCAACCTTTTTTTTTAAGTCCCTCTTTGTCTACGTAAGAAATTGCGATGTTGACAGAAGGCAAACTTCAAACATCAGTTTGCCTTAAAATATTGTGAAGTTTCCTTAATTTTTATTAAAATGAGCAGAAAAAAGTGAAACTACCGAATCTCAGTGGAAAATAATATTATATTTGCATAATCAGGGAAAATCATATGCTGAGATTGGTGAAATGATGGACAGGAGCCGCTACACTATACGGAGCATTGTACAACGCTTTAAGGGGGCTTCATCTTCGCAAAGCGCAAAACGTACAGGCAGGCCTAAGGTTTTAAACGACCGCGAATGCGGCCAAATAGTGAGGAAGGTAAAAAAAAAAACCGAGAATATCCTCCTCACAAATCGCAACAGAAGTTAAGGAAGAGTTGGGAAAGGATATTCATCCAATAACAGTCCGGAAAGCACTGCATGAGTATAACTACAATTCTCGTGTAGCTAGACGCAAACCCCTAATTTCGAAAGCTAACCAAAAGAAGCGTTTAGCCTATGCTAAGGAGTACCTAAGCAAGCGAAGTGACTTTTGGGACCATGTACTCTTCTCAGATGAAAGTAAATTCAACATCTTTCAATCTGATGGCCGGCAAATTGTGTGGAGAAAGCCCAACACCGAACTGCAAAAAAAGAACATTTCTGCGAGTGTAAAACATGGTGGTGGAGGAGTCATTGTGTGGGGCTGCATGTCCGCTGCAGGTGTCGGTGAGCTGGAGTTCATTGATGGCATTATGGACAAGAAATATTACATGGAAATCTTGAACAGAAATGTCAAAAAAGTGCCGAAAAGTTGAAATTGCCAGAGTCATTCGCATTTCAGCACGACAACGACCCGAAGCATACTGCTGATGATGTTCGTATGTGGCTTGCGCACCATAANGTTGAAATTGCCAGAGTCATTCGCATTTCAGCACGACAACGACCCGAAGCATACTGCTGATGATGTGCGTATGTGGCTTGCGCACCATAATAAACATACATTGCCGCATCCGCCTCAATCGCCTGATCTAAACCCAATAGAACATTTGTGGGAAGAGCTAGATAGGCGCGTTAAGAAGCGTGTTATAACAACAAAAGCAGGGTTAAAGGTGGCACTAGTAGAGGAATGGCAGAATATTGGAGCAGAAACCACCCAAAAATTGGTTTCTTCGATGCCAAGTCATCAAACAAGAGGGCTTAGCTACAAAATATTAATTTCATTAGTACATATGTAACTATTTTGTTATTGTGTGAAGTGTGCCAATAATTTTGTTTTGTATTAATAGGTACTTTTTTTCTTTAATAATTACTGTAATTAAATACATCACATAATAAAATGAATTGAACTGAATATAATTGATAATTTTTCATTCTCTCTCATTTCTTTTTTTTTTGCAATTAAAAATCATTTCATAAGTGGCCAAAAAGCAGTGTTAAAGTTTAGCTATCTTGCTGTGCCAATAATTTTGTTCATCACTGTATGTATGTATGTATATATGTTCCCTATGTATGTATGTATGTTATTCACATTTCGTTTCGCATTTTCATCATTCAAACTCAACTTATTTATTTCTATTGGAAGAATTTTAGTATTTGATAAATTTATAATTTCTACTTTTATTTATTTACATATTAAAACAGTTTGTTTTAGTTAGTTCCATTTTTATTGTACTTGCTTCACTTACTTTTTCTTGGTATAAACGTCATAAACCAATCGCACTATTATTAACCACTTTTTTCTTACTTAGCTGCTATTTTATTTGCGCGCCGCCTAATTAGTAAATCCGTTCAGGTTTTCAACACATCGCTAACTAAATCCGAGCAAACCAAATTTTTTATTCTCAAACCATTATTGACAGTGATTTTCGAATGCGTCAACGCTTACCCGCTTCATTGCCAGAGGTTTTTCAATTGTCGGTTTTTGCGATTATTATTGCCGTTTTTTTTGTTTTGCAAAGAGAGGAAGCAGTGCTGATTAAAATGTTTATGTACTTATACACTGGAAACTCAATAAGTTGAAAATTGCAATAACGAGTAGTATAGTTCGATATTTTGCCTTACAACTCATCGGCCAAAAAGTTTCGTAAATTCTTTTAGTCGTTTGCTTCTGACAATACATTTCAGTAATTCGCAATATTTGTCTTTGATACCTTATAAATTGCAATTACCGAATTGGAAAAAACGGAAGCTTCTCTTTTTTTTTAAAAAGTCGCTGACTCGTAATACTTGGATAGCAACCCAGCAAAGAAATATGGAATCGCGGCTCTAGAAGCTATTACGGGGAATGCAAAGTCGCCTTCAAGCCATTACCCCCAACGACACGCCCTTCTAATGCCTACTAGAAGCGAAAGAGGCAGCGCTTACCAATTTTGTTTGGATTCCACATCAGTTTCTAAGGTAATGTTTTTTTTTTTTGCTTGGAAGTTGTCGAGCTTCCACCCTGTAGTTCTGCTGGAGTTTTGCTGATGACTGGTGCTGGTGATTCCATGCATTACCGATTGTCAGGCAATTCGGTAGCAACTTCAGCATTGCTCGTTAGGCAATGCGCTAGCGATTAGTAATCGCCACTTTTGCACCAGGTAATCGCTAACGAAAGGACAAACCACGCGCACCGCTCGGTACGCTTCAATGACATTGCAATGCTAAATTCGTTAGGCAAAGGAATTGGTATCGCTAATATCGGATGACCACAGCGACCGGATTCCAGCATTCGCTATAGCTAATTTTGATCGCTAAAAATCTCCAAAATAATAGCAGCCGCGCTTAACAACATGCAACATCTAGTGACATGCCCCTCATACTGGCGGCTTTGGTAGATTACACATTGGTTCCGTTACTTTTCCATGTTGCGTGCTTTTAGGCCACACTGATTTTCCTTTGAGAATTTTGGCGATGAAAATGTAGCCTAGCGATTGTCAGAATCCCATTGCAGTACTCACTACTGGCGGGCCAGCGAAATCATTAGTGGTAGCCAGGCGGGTACTAGTCACAAAAATTGCGACACCAATTTTTTTGCCTAAAGAATTTATCATGGCAATGTCATTGAAGCGTACCGAGCGGTGCGCGTGGTTTGTCCTTTAGCTAGCGATTACCTGGTATAAACGTGGCGATTACTAATCGGTAGCGCATTGCCTAACAACCAGTAATGCACAAAATCGCTAAATTTTGATATTTTCAATACGGGCATCGCATAACCTGTCGCTAGCGAATTACTTACAGCGCACTGTATGTTTTATGAAGGCATCTAGTACCGGGACTCGGGATCCCGATTTGAAGAAGTACATGAATGGTCAGAATCACGAAAAAATTCGAACTTTGACAGATCATATCTCCACAGAAAAAAAATCCTCGAATTCGTGTTAGCTTGTTTCATGTATAGAACCCATAAAAAAATTTGAAGCGAATTGGAGACATGACATCATATTTTTTTACGAAATCCGTCCGACTTGTATATGAATATACTTAAGAATATATACATATGTATGTTTTGGTGTACTAATATTACTACACATATATATATAAAAATAAATACTATATGTGAGTGTAAAGATGATCTCCTATTTTTTACTTTTTGTAAAAATGACTGCGACTGTAATATGAATGAATTTCAATTCCATAGGTTTTAGTTTATTCAGTTTGTAATTAGCTTTTTAAACTTATATAAAATAAAGACATTTATATCTCCTTGCTTAACACAAATTTGGTTTTTATTTCTAGTATTCGCACTAAAGAAAGACCCCAAAACTAGTTTGTTAGCATATTTTAATTAATGGTAGTAATATCCCGAAAAATTCCGGGATCCCGGGATTACCACTTTAAGATCCCGAAATCCCGGGATTAAAAAAATGGTCCGGGATTGGATGCCTTAGTTCATATATTGTATATGTATGTATGTGCACATCTATACACATCTATTCAATTTGAATGTTATGCCGGTTTGCAATCGGGAATTCCTTCTGTTCTCATTTAATTGTTCCTAGATTTTTTATGATATTAATGTGGCTGCGCGTTAATTATTTCGTTTCTCTAGCTTCCACCTTTTATTATTTATAGTGCGATATCATCTTCACTCTACAGATTATTAGTAATTGTTTTGCTTTTATTTTTGAAGAACTACAGTGGTCCTAGATTACATTTACGATTATTTCATCTTTAGGTCCAATAGCAATAAAATAATTATAATAAAAAAAGAAAGAGCATACTTAGACGATCTATTGTACTGGTAATAATAATAATAATATATAGACTTGAATATTTGTTAGGTTGTTGGGCGATTATAGCCGATTAGATTTTCCTCGTGACAATATGCAAAGTTTTTCACTTGATCCAATAACCGGAAGTGAAGTGACTTCATCTTCCTTCTTTTCTTTATTCTTATTCAGGGATGCATTTTCATTATTTTTACAATATCACAATCCAGGATTGCTATAAACAACAGGGTTGTTACAATATTATTATATTTTCATTACATTGTGATCTTATAATTGACAGGGTTGTTGCAATATTATTATACTTTCATTATATTGTGATCTTACAACTCAGCCTCGTTCAAGACTAACTAAAATGATTAACAATTTCTGAAGCCTCTTTTCGGGTACTTGTTGCCAGCTTCTGATTCGGTGAGCTTCAACTACTCCGTCATAAGGTAACTGCGTAAGTTGACAGTTATCGATATCGCGTATGACGTATCTATCGTTACCGAGTACCTTGTGTATTACATACGGACCTTCGTACACGGGAATTAGCTTTTTGTTTGTACCGGGACTAGTATCCACGTTTCTTATGACGACATATTCATCTACCTGGAAAGTTTTGGGTACAGTCCTGTTTTGTAGGGATCTGTTAACGTCATATTCTTGTTTCGCTAGTATAAAATTGGACGTGTCAGTACGTATACGTTCTAAGTCTCGATTCCCGTCGGGACAAATCTTGTCTTGGAAATACTCGGTAAACTCGACTATTATTTCTCCTCTTTGTTCCACATCAAAAAGTAACCGGCGTGGAGTATCTCGGCAAGAGCTGTGGATAGAGTTGTTAATGGCATATTCAGTTTCAGTAAATTTTTTAGTCCAATCGACGTGGTTCAGGTCATTAGTCAATTTTCCCAAAATTGTCTTTATAACCCGGTTGACTCTCTCTACTTGTCCGTTAGCCTGGGGTGATGCAACCGCTACTTTCACATGGTTTATGTTCTTCTTTAACAAAAATTCGGCGAACTGTAATGAGGTAAAGCAAGTTCCCCTGTCGCTTATAATACGTCTCGGTCTGCTGTATTAACTGAAGTATTTATCAAGAGCAGCAATGATTTCTCGAGTACTTGTGGAGTTCATGGGATATAGTTTTACAAATTTGGTAAATGCATCGACAATTACCAGAATATGCTTTCGTTTTGATTTTAGTGACGGTAATCGTCCAAAATGATCAATATGAATAGTTTCAAACGGTAAAGGAATTTTCGGGATTGGGTATAGGTTTCTTTCTCTTACTTGGGGAGGATTAGCATACATAATGTACTTTAAACAGTTCCTAAAAAATTTTTCCACATTCGTGCGCATCTCCGGGAACCAATAATAAAGGCTTAGTTTGTTCAACGTTTTATCAACAGATAAGTGGGCCAACTTCTCGTGTATCGACTATATTACATTAGATTCCATTTCATGAGGCACATATAGTACGTTTTTACCATCAGTTTTTATAAGCTTTTATTTAACTTGGTCATCCCGCGCAAATCGTGGAAATTTCCAATCGATTTTAAACTAACTTCCCGACAAGTTAGAGACTTGAAATTTTCAGCATAGTTCCAATCACGATGACAATGCAATTTAAAATATAAATGAATTCCCTATATGGTCCAGGGGTCTTGATTCAAAGTCGGTCAAAAATTAGTAAAATTTATGGCTAACAGAGCGTAATTTGCCAAAGAACGTAAAACCAGAGCAAAGCCATTTATGGCAAATTCTAGATATCAACCTAGTCTAGATATGAACCTCGTTGAAGGCATCATATAAAGGAGATAAAATTAGAAGACTCGAGAAGTTTCCTCGCCAGAAGAACTTTAATATTGCGCCTAAATATATGCCATGCTACAGCGGAAGTGGACGACACGCCATTTCTTTAAATGAAATTAACTGCTGCTATATGTATGTATGTACATATGTATGTTTATACAAAACGTAAGCAAACAACATTTTGCTTGCATAGTCTTCTGTTCTCTTTCATTGCAAGTTGAATTATTTTAATATCTATTGCAAAATTTTGTACATAAAATAAAATAAAACTATTTAATATACAACGCTTTTATAAATGGACTAAAAATTAGAAAATAAAGTAATGTAAAAAAAATATTTTTTTAAAAATAAGCTTTTATTTAACATGTTTAATCAAAGGAATAAAATAAAGTAGTGAAACAAAAGATTTAGCATGAAAATTTTGTCAAAACTGCACTAAAATGAATAAAATAAAATAAGTTAAGGTCTCGTTGAAGTTACTAAAAGCAATTTAGTGAAAGGAGTTATTCAAACTCTAATGAAAATTACTAACAATTTGTACTAATTTACTTCGTTTACAAAGGCGGTAAACGGTATTGAATCGGGAGACATATTAACTTGGTGAAATCCACTCTTCAGGTCTAGTACGAAAAAAAAAAACGTTTATTCTGTAGATACTCAATACAGTCTTCAATTAATGGCAATGGATAATTATCCCTAACCATCAATTTGTTCAGGGCCCTATAGTCCACACACATACGGGTTTTACGATTCTTCTTCTTTATTAATACAATGTTGACACTTCGTTGCGTTCTGCATAAGACAGACGGCGAGGGCATGATGGAAAGGGACGTCAGTCTTTAAGTGTATCTTCATTTCATACTTAAGTGGTTCAGTTTTTATGTTAGACTAGT